AATATATCCATCACAAATCCATAGCTGGTTAGCAGTTCTTGTCTTTGTCATGCCTCTTCAGCAGACTTGGCCCATAGACACATTTTACTAATGACTATAGAAGTTTCATGTGTTCAATTTGTAGAAAAGAAGGTTTTTTTTATTAAAAAAAAAACAAACATGATAAATGGTTGCAAAATGAATTATAAATTTCAGGCAAGATTTGAACTTTTTAAAAAAGGCTGGTTAGGAAGGAATGTCACAGCAGCATACCAGACATTTGTAGAATCATAGAAAACTTTAGGTTGGGATTGGAGACCATCTGGTCCAACCTTCTGTTGAAAGGTTATCCCTGTCAAGCTGAGGCTAGAATATTTCCAGTGAGGGAGATTCCACCAATTCTCTGTAACTTATTCCAATGTTGGCTTTTTTCTTGCAATGAATTTTTCTTTTTTCCAGAGCACAGGGAGGCACTGCAGCTGGTTCCATTTCACTTGGATACCTCAAGTACTGATGTGTCGGCTAAAAGATGTTTCCTTCCTCATTTCTCTGAAGGAAGTCCCAGTATTTTTGACTCAATCAGAAAAGTATACTGGTTTAACTCAAATTATGTCCACCATCCCATTGCTCATTGTTGTGGTGGAGGGAGTGAGAGAGCAGCTGTGTGGTTCTGAGTTACCGGCTGGGCTTAAACCATGACACTCATCCAAAAAAAGCCCAAACTTTAAAATCAGATTCCCAACAGTAATGACCTTTTACTTTGTCATATCCTAAGAGGACCTCCAGGCCTGCCTTTGGAGACATAAAATTTGCCTATGAAAAAAATCAGCTTATCATTGTAAACATGTCTGAAGGCTTTGTTGAATTAACTAATACATTTCATATTATATATGATATATATATCATCCCTTTACTTAGATTTGATAATTAATACTGGATGCCATTGGGTTTTTTTAATGATTTTAAATCTTCTTTAGTAGTTGGCTAAAGGAAATGAAGATTTATTTATGTATGCTATTTACCCCCCATTGTATGTAACCTTCACACACTAATCAATTCTGGTAGGACTATGGATCCCGAGTCTAACACTCAAAGGTCAAAAGTAAGAAAAATTGATCATCTGCTGTATACCTGTATATCAAGATATATAGTCTTTCTTCAACATGCCTCTCATTAACATTTCTAGAATAACATTCATTTAATAGAGTTTTGTCAGCTGAAGTGTGACATCCTGCCTTTTTCACCAGAATTATACCAGAATTTAAAAGGTACAGTTGGAAATTGCAGCAAGCCATTTTTACTATGAGAGGAACCTGTTAGTTACAGAAAGAGAAATCAACCATTATGTCATTAGAAGTTTTTACAATTAAAAGTTTTATTCCTAGAGGAACTGAAAGACAATTAAATGAAATGCTAACAACAAATTAAATGCTTTATAGGTCAGTCATCCCATTAGGTCTCTTTAGGGAAGCTGTTCTCATATAAAGCATGCCATAACCTATTTGCATAATGATTCTATCTTAACTGTGCCTTCTGCTCTTTTATGGTGTGTTGTTTATCCTAGTGCATGGCTGATATAGTAGAATCTCACAAAGAAAGTAAAAGCTGCTATTTATGGCAGACAAAACATTGCACCATTCATATACATTATGCAGGACAGTACCCAAACTGCAAATATGATTTAACACACAGAGTCATTATACTTCGCTCATTGCAGTGGCTTAATTGTTTGAATTATAGACAGTGTTAGCATCATTGTTTTTATAAGATTATACACACAAAAGCAGTTCCAGCTAGAGTATGTGGAAGCTTGTGAAAGAAAACACGAGCTTTCTAAAGACAGCACTATTGGTCTGGGCTCATTTGAAAATGCAGAACCCTTTCCAGAGGGGGGAAAAAAAAGGCTTCAGAGAAATCCTGATCTCCAGTGCACACCGTCATGAACAGTCTGTCACATTTTGGGGGGAAAGAAATTTCATGAGATGAGTCTTGATTTCTGGCTTTGGATTAGAGCCTGGTTATTTACAAGGTTGGCTTTGTCTCTGTGGGCAGAAAGTGAATGACTAAAATCTTGGCATGCAGTCACAAAGCTATTTCTTTTTTTAAATTTGGTTTGTTTTAACTATATTGTTTTCAAAAGGTAGGGAAGAAATGGGACTAAGTCTGTTAGCAGCATTTGAACTAACAAATGTTGCCAGACAACACCCTGTTTGACATTCCTGAAGTTTATTGTCCTGTAAACCCAATTTAGTCACTCTGGCTTGTGTATAACCTTAGAAAGCTAGTAAGGATCTAAAAGTACAAGGTGTCTGCTCCACTGTAAGAAAAGAGCTGCTTAGATCTTAATGCTGTCAATTGCACATGCAAGGTACTAGATGCATCTTTTGCAGGCTGTTTCAAGACTGGCTGTGATAAAGCCATGGGATCAGAAGTCCTTAGTGGCACAAACAACAGCCTCTTTTCTGTTAACTACAGAATAAATCAATTTCCAGTTAAAACACAAGGGAAGAGCAGTCAACAACCTCCTCTTCCAGTGGTAGGTAAACATTAGACACGTTTACTTTATCAACAAGCCATACATCAGTCATAGCAAACTGACTTGAACAAGCTCTCCCAATGTGACAGGCTGCACTGCAGCAAAACATCCATTTAGGTGCTCACAGATGTTCTGTTCCTTTAAGTATCTGACTGATTCCTGAAACAGGACTTCTTTTCTGTTTGGGAACTTAAAGAGAGTGGTTAAGTTGTCAAAAAGGCCAGGTACTCAACAGTGCACAGCAGCTTCAAAAATCGACATTTTAAGAAAACAATAAAACTTGACAAATGGCTTTACCGAGGTGACTACTCTGATGGTTAAGACAAAAGATATTAATTCCTAACTTCCTCAGTATCAAACTGTGCTTAGCCTTTCTGCTCTTGTGTTTATGCAGCAATGACATCTAGACTGTCTCAAAGTGTTATCGTTGCAAGCACAGTTTAAAACTATATTCCGGCATATGCTGTGGGCTTTTGTCTCAAGTGTCTTGGTCCCTCAGTTTGCCGCTTTTTGTGGACTTGCCCAGAGTCTGGACCACTGTTGATCACACGATTAAACTGATCCTACTTGTTTTACTACTGAGGAATCTGGATTTTGCTTTGTAGGGAAGTTTCTTCATGTGTGTGAACCTCTCCTGCTGTTGGCATGAAGTCTTACCTCTCTTTGCCAGACCTTCTTGAGAGCATGTCATCCACACTACAGCCAAGCAGTGCTCAATATCTATTTCAGTTGAAAAACTTCAGCACTGGATGCAGAAGTATCAGACACAGCCAATATCTTTGCTGCTGTCAGCCAAAACACACATCTTAGTGTGTATATATATATATATATATATGTATATATATATGCATATATATACATATATATATTCTGCCTGAGTATTGGCAGGATTTGGACCTTTCTCTGTATAAGATCTCTAGAAGTTGAGAATTAACTTATACCCTTTAATGAATTATTCCCTTCCAACTAAATGTGTATTTCTCAGTGTGAATATGGCTGTAAATGTCATGCAAATGAGTTAAGCAATTTCCTCTAGAGACCTGAAATAACTTGCTTGTTACTAAGGAATTTCAAGGAACATCCTCTGGTGGACCTTAGCAAATTAAAAAGATCCCTTCTGCTGTTCTGGTGTCTCAGACCTTCTTCCTCTCAACCTATGTACGATATTTACTGTGCCTCTGCATAGTATGCAAATGCTTGCCACAATTTTAATCTTAAAAGAAAATAAATCACTATTCTATAGAATTAAATATGTGACCTGTGGATGAGGCTAGGGTATATATTTAATGTGAAACCAGTGTGGACTCAATCTCACACTGACAACTACTGTGACTAGGTGTATTTTATATACATCTGTTCTGACATTGTATTCGAGTGCAAAAGGCAGAAAGATTGCTGCTATTTAAACCTGTGCTGTAAAATGCTTAGGTTTCTGTGATGAACTGTTTCATACTTTGAAGCATGTACTACATATGTTAATTCAAGAACATTCATCTCAGTGATTTTCTTCCATGGAAAAGAAAGGTTGTGTATAAATTGTTCCCAGCATTATTTTGGGAACAAATATATATCCAGGGGAAATTTCTAGTCATGGCTATAGCTACTCTACAGAGTTCAATTGTCTTCATTTTTCTTCAGGTTAAGTGCATCAAAATAAGGTTTCCCATATTTCTTAAGCTCATGTACAGCCAGAACATTTGTAGTGTACCTGAAATAGATCCTGTTGGTTTGCAGGTACCTTGCTGCTGTAGTCCAAACTGTTAAGTAATGAGCAGAGTATCTAACTTGCTCTTAAATGTCTTCAGTGCTAGAAGGTCCTGTAATCATTCTATCTGTAAGGAAGCATGTAGTTTTGTCAAGGATGCTAGACTGTGACCCTTTATGTTCTACTTTCTGGGTGATGCTGAGTAAGTTATATTTTCAGATGTTTAAATAAATTTAGAAACTTTTTAATAAGTTCTAGGGCATACTCAGTGTTTAATCCAATTTCTGTCAAAGGATTTAATGGGTTCTTGCTTATGAATGGAAAATTTGGGTGTCTAACAAGATCAGGTACTAAAGATGTATATTTTGGAGTGACATGTTTCATCATGCTCCTATACCAGCAAGCCTTAAGCTTATACTGTAAAGTCTGCACATCATGTAACGTTGTGGAGGAAACTCTCATCAAATTATGAACAGCGAGGGAAGAATGCTCTTTGGGATCACTTGCTTCCATGTTATCCAAGGTACACGGGAAATATGGAAGAGAACATACTAAGTCAAAGTCAGGATTTGGGAAGATACCGTAGGAATTAGGAAGTTTTCATTATAGCGGGGGGTGGAACCAGGTAATCTTTAACATCCCTTCCAACCCAAACCATTCTCATTCTAATTGTTCAGCATAATTTTTTTTCCCATAAATGCATCATCCTTTATGCTACTGAATTTTTGCATACTTATTGTACTTCTTTTGTTTGTTTTTTTTTTTCTCTTTTTTTATCAGAGTTCTCATAAAGAAAACAATTGTTTTTACTACAACATGAAACAAAGGGCAAAGCAGGAAGATGAATTTCCCTACAAAGTACAGGCTGGGGCATATTCTTCTGGATTATGTATCTTCAAAGACCTTCTCTGGAAGTAACATATAAACAAGACTTCTGCCAGGTTAGTGATCAAAATCCTATGTACATGATTTTTACCCAACTAGTTTAAAATAAAGGATGCTTGTGCTTACTGAAGCCATGTTTCGCCTACATTATGCTGCTTATTTTAGACAATTATTATTATGGAAAGCGTATCAGAATTGATATCATCAGTCACTGGCTTTAAAAATGGGTTGTCTAGCAATTAATTATTTCCAGGCTATCTTTGTAACAGTACATGACACCAAATACAATCTATGCGTGAGATATCATTCTAGAAGTATGTCCGAATGCTTGAATTTACTTCATTTGAAGACGGAAATTTGTGTCGACACCTTGAAAGTTTGTAATGTTATGGCTGGTATTACAAAAAGAGCATTCTGCCAGGTTTTGATTCATCATTATGAACGCGTTCGAAGCACCAGGGTAAAAATACCAGGCCAAATGTTCCAGAATCATAACGTTCTCCTCTGTTGATATCAGCAATGTCTTCCCAGTTTTAACACACTTCATTAATGAACACCCCATGCCAGATGTGCCCCTGTTTAAATGCCTAAAAATAACTCTTTAAGTTGTTCCCCAGCAAATGCTAAGCTGACATAAAGATAAGCTTATGGCAATTATTATATTGCTGCCTTTAAGGTTTATGTTGCACTTGCAATTGAACACACAATTTGGGATTTTTACACTGAGAATGGTCTTCAGGCTACTACCTTGGAATATTAGGCAAAAGTTATAATGTAGAGGCATATAATTAATTTTGCCTAAGAGTTATACTTAAAGTAGTGAGCAGACGGGCAGTTTTTAAATCTGAAAATCCTATCACTTGCCAGCTGTAGTATGTCACATATAGCATGTCTGGCTCCAATACAGAAAAACATGACTTGAAAAGTTAGCAGGAATCAGGAATATCTGCCACTTCTTTCTACCGTTGCTGGTTTTAAGAAAATAGTACGTAGAATGACGGAAAAGTGGACATTTAGTCTTTATTCAGGGAAGAGAGGGAGAAAATCGTGTGGAATTTAATAAAGCTTTACTTAAACTTCCTCCTTGTGCTGGTTTTGGCTGAGATAGAGCTAATTTTCTTCCTAGTAGCTGCTGTAGGGCTGTGTGCTGGATTTGTATTTAAAAGTGTTGATCATACAGGGATGTTTTAGTTATTGCTGAGCGGCGCTTGTGCAGAGTCAAGGCCTTTTCTTCTCCTCACACCCCTGCAGTGAGGAGGCTGGGGGTGCACAGGGAGTTCGGAGGGGATACAGCCGTGACAATTGACTCCAACTGACTCCAGGGATAGCCCATACTATAGGGTGTCAAGCTCAGCATGTAAAGCTGAGGGAGAAGGACAGAAGCAGGGTGGGGGATTAGGGTGGATTTGGGGTGGGCGGGTGTCCATTCAGAATGCTGGCATTCTGTCTTCCTGAGTAACTGTTATGTGTGATGGAGCCCTGCTTTTCTAGAGATTGCTGAATGTCTGCCCATGGGAATTGCTGAGTGAGCTCCTTGTTCTGCTTTGCTTTTGTGTTACCTATTAACCAGTCCTTATCTCAGACCACAAGTTTTCTCACTTTTTCACTTCCAATTCTTATCCTGCTGGGGTGAGGTGGGGGGGAAGAGCGAGAGGCTGTGTGGGGCTTAGCTGAAAGAAATGCGGGGGGGGTTGTGTCTGAATGTGCAAAGAGGTCTTTTGGAACAGCTTGGATAAACAGGAGACTCTTATGTTTTTTCCCGTTTATTCCCAGTATTTCCACAAATCTGGGAAGGAAATTTTAGCACTTGCAGAGAGCCTAGATGTCCTGTCGCTAATTTAGACATCTCATATCCCATGTGTAGCCAAGGATTTAAGAAATGTACTTCTGAATTTCATCTTGCAACTCTAATATAGATATTGCTAGTGGTTACATCAAGCTGAATTTAAAGCTACATCAACCTACATGAAAAGTTTTTCAAGTTACTCTTACTGCCCAAATACTATCCTTACACATGCTTTCTATCTTCCTATTAGCTCCTGTAGAAGAGAAAGTTGGTTCATTCTCTGAAGACAATATTACTTTAAGTGATCTTCATTCATTCTTGTTCAGAATAATTCTGAAGATTTATTGTGACAAAGCATAGTTAGAGGTGGTCCGGTCTGTTGGCTCTTTGAAATAAGAGTGAGAAAACTTCAACTGTTAAAAAGGGAAAAAATACCAAACCCAAACCCAAAAAAAGCTATTTTTCTCCATGTCTTTCATTACGTGAGAAGATGGGGAAAAACATCTGGAGTTATCTCTGAATTCAAAGGTGCAACCTGAAAATTCCTCTGCTGGCTCATTACACCTATTAATTGTCTTCATCTGCTGCCCTTTTTCAACTGACTCATATACTGTTTCCTTCTGGACTGCTGTTATTCTCTGCTTCATTAGCTGCTAATGAGTTGCCATACAGAACAGCATGTTGTCTTCCTTTATTCTTTCCTAACGTTTACTGAGGTGCTCAGGGCTTTTTTTTTTTTCCCTTTAGGTAGAGAGAGGGCTGGTGTGGGTTGAGAGGGAGAACTACAGATATCAGTAAGGTGATATCCAGCTTGGTACTCACAGGTTTAATTGTGCCTATAAAAGAAATTTTGGTGAAAATGAAATTTATCTTAGTTCTTTCAAATCATAAAATCTATTTGCTTCTCTCTTTAATGAATCTTTTTTATTCAGTGCTATAATATGTACGGTGTTATAATTAAAGAATGATAATGAAGGTAAATTGAAGTATTAATTTTTAAACCCTATTCTGATGTTGACTAACACTGCGAATGATGATTCACTCGGATTCTGAGTGTCTGCTTACAGATGTGACATTTTAGTTATTTATAAAAAAAATATTTAGGAAAGGATTCTCGAAGGGAGTGAAGGTTTTAAGGTTTTGGTGGTTTGGGGCTTTTTGTTTGTTTGGGTTTGGTTTTGTTTTTCTTTCGTTTCCCAGTTTGATTTTCAAGGCAGGAAAAAACCCCAACTGTGAAGTGCATACTGTCTTCTAGTCTCTCCAAAAGGGAAAGGTCGGTAAGGAAACACACACCTTGTAAATTCTGGGACTACTACAGAAAAAGTAACCTACTCCTTCTGTAGTTATGTAGGTAGGTTCTACCAAAATGATTTCTTAACTGGGAGCCATGGTAATTCCACAAGCACTGACTCTGAAACAGTAATAAATTTCAAATGCAGGACACAAGACTATGACAATATTTTGAAAGCAACTTAAAATGTCCAGTAATGTCCTTATTATATCAGAAAACTATTCAAAATTTAAATGCAACTAATTTAAAGGTAATTATTATATTTTAAAATACAAAAAGATGTAATTGACTCTTAATATAATTAGTAATTCAAGTTGAACTTTCATGGCTGAAATTCCAATTCATTAAGTCTGTTTAAAGGTACAAGTTCAATACATATGCTGCAGTACGACCAGATTATGAACCACACCAACCTTTTGATTTTGGTCAGCAACACTGACTTTTTGGGTGATTACCTTTTTTCTGTTCATGTGTTTCTGTGTCCTGGGTTCAGCATTAGCAGTCATTTTTTCTCCTCCTTAGTAGCTGGTGCAGTGTTGTGTTTTTGACTTTCAGCCTGGGAACAATGCTGATAACACCAATGTTTTTAGTTGCTGCTCAGTAATGTTTAGTCTGGCAAAGAACTTTCTGAGTCTCATGCTCTGCTAGGGAGGAGGGGAAGCCGGGAGGAATCAGAGACAGGACACCTGACCCAAACTGACCAAAGAGGTATTCCATACCACAGCATGTCATGCCCAGTATACAGACTGGTGGGGGAGTTACCCAGAAGGCCCAGATCACTGCTCGGGTCGGGCTGGGTATCGGTCGGTGGGTGGCGAGTGGTTGTATTCTCTTCCCTTGTTATTTCCCTTATCATTATTACTATTGGTGGTAGCAGCAGTGGTTTGTATTATACCTTAGTTACTGGACTGTTCTTTCAACCCATGGGAGTTACATTCTTTTGATTCTCCTCCCCATCCCTCGGGGGGGGGGGGGGGGGTGCGGGCAGGGGTAGTGGGCAAGCAGCTGTGTGGTTCTAGGTTGCCGGCTGGGTTTAAACCATGACGTTCTGGAAATACATGCAGATGTGTTCTTAGCCAGAAGTCACCTATGGGCATATTTTTTTTCTTTTCTCCTTAAACTTCATAATGTGGTGAAACAATTTTTTAAATGCATATTTTCTCATGAAAATAAACACTTACTGCTTTATATCCCCTGCATAGGAAGTGATGCTATGTAGATTTTGCTGGGATTATTTATCATAGAATGGTTTGGGTTGGAAAGGACCTTAAGATCATCTAGTTCCAATTCCCCTGCCATGGGCAGGGACACTTCCCACTAGACCAGGTCACTCAAGGCCCTGTTTGTTTCCTTTCCAATAGTGATGTATAGATATAAGATCAAACTTTAAGTGTCATCTAATTGTATAAAATAACATTTTATTTGTTTCAATGTATGTTTTACTGTGAGCTTTTGGCAACTCCATATGCAAATACTACATGTGTTGTCAAGCCTAAAAACCCAGCTCTGGGCTGAGAAAGCATCTCTGATGCAAAATTCACCTTCAGGAAGATAAACATAACTTCCATTTACACCTGAAGTTGTCCTTCTGCTCTCGTCTTGTTAGCAAGTGAAGTACTGTACTGTGCAACTGCATGTCTTTGGGGCTGTGAGTTAACACTTTCCTATATGTCTTTTAATAAACAGTATGGAAAGAACACATCCAGACATACCAGTCTTTGCAACACGTAGGCACAATGAGACTTCTGTTCTCCACTCTTCCGATGTGCAAAAATAAGTTCCAATAATGTATTGCAGCTGAATCACATACCAAGAGAGTAGGCCTCAGACTTGGAAAGAAACTTTGGAAAACTTATTCCCCAGGTAACATCAAAATTTCTCTTCTGAAAGACAAAAGAAATGAGGCAAAGAAATCACTAGATCTGATTTGACAGAGGGATGAAAATGAGTTAAAATAAATGGAATAAAATCTGAACATG